GAGAGCTGCTGCTCTAGGAATTAAGAGACCACATATGAAAGGGATCATCAGTGTGGACACGGAAACCACCAGGAACGATGGAAGAGTAATGTAACTCAGCACCCCCGCGCCCCCCTAACGAAAACAAACTCACTGCCATGGAGGCAGCCATCATTGTCCCTATGTTACAGGTGAGCAAACTGAGGACCCTGAAAGTCAAGCACCTGGGAGGAGGGTGGGAACCGAGGAGCTGACAACGATGAGTACAAGAACAAAACATTCTGAAATGGATTGATGGTGGTGATCGTTGTACAACTCTTCTTAATATGATTGAACAATTAAAGTGTATGATACATGCAGTACATACCAGGACAACTTTTTTGTCCAAGCCAAGCACTTTGCCCAGGATAACCACGAAGGAGTGTCTGAGGTGAGAACCAAGCAAGCACAGTTCTTTCGCACGTGTCCACCCCACCCCCACTCCAGCCCCTCCGCTGGCTGGCTCCCCAGTGGTAGGACTGCAGTGCATTCGCGTCTTTTATTCCTTCTGGCCAAGTTTTTGGTTTTAATACAAAAATCTCATTATTCGATTTGATTTGTTTTCATTTTCACATCTGCACAAACTTAAGTTGTTCGAGTTACTCCTGCCTCGGGCTATGGGTTGGGAGTTGGGGAATAGGACATGAACACACTTCAGCAATGCGCCTCAGGCTCAAGGTCACCACATGCATGTGGTTGGCGTGGTTGAGCCAGTGGTGCCCACTGTGGGGCTGTCTGGCCGATGGGTGAGAAGAAGCAAGAACAGCCAGAGCTCCGCATGGCTTGCTAAGCTCCGGGTCCTGGCTCAGATACACCTGGAGAGATGGCTGCCTTCTGTCCCCTTGACTAGACGGCAGTGAGTTTGGTTGGGTTAGTTCATTCGGTCTATGATTACTCAATAGTTGTGTGTGTGTGTGTGTGTGTGTGTGTGTGTGTGTGTTAGGCTTTAGAAGGATAGGTAGGGAATGAAATCTAATCCCCTCCAGTTCTGAGATACTGCTCTTAGACTCACTGCGTGATTGAGTTCATCATTTTAAGGAGTCAGGGAACCAAACAGGCATCATTATGTAAGCTTGGAATTTTGACATCCATATGCTCCTGGGTTTTGGGATTTGGGGGCGTGTCCCCCTTTTCTCTTGAAAAAAACCCAAATCTTTTCATGTTTCACTGCATCACTCAGGATACTGACCCGATGGTTCCGAACTGCTCTGCATTTTCAAGAGTTTACTTAAAAAACTGGCCTTGGCTTGTTGTTGTTTGTTTTTATGCATCAGACTCGGCTCTAGCTGACTTCAGGGCCACCTCCTCCACAAACACATCTCTGACCTCGCAAATACCTTCACCACCAGCTGCGTCACTAACCCTGTGAGCGCGGAGGCTGCTGCTTCCTCTGCGGTGGGCATTTTGCCACTTGCTTTATCCCTGTGGGCCTATCAAATGTTCACGCTCTTGACATTGCTTAATCCCTGCATGCGTCTTTAAAAACATATCAAATGCCTCCCTTACAAATTGGTCTCATGCCACATATAATGTGATATTAGAGCCAAATAAAGTTCACTCTTTTAAAACTTTCTTTCCCTACCACAAAAAATAACCCAAAACTAGTCTTAGAAATATTGTCACGGCAAGTTGAAGCATGGTCCTACTTGCCCATGGTATGTCACTTCTTCGCTCACAGCTACAGTTGGACAAGAAACTTCTCAGTGAACACTGTGTCGCTGTCACATCCACACCTGGGGTCCCAGCACAGAGCTGGCCCCATCGTTTTCCCAAAGTGTTCCTTTTTGCACGACTGCTGCTCTCAGAATTCCTGGTCAGGGACAGTCCCTTCCCTGGTGCCTTATCTGAAAAGTGGAGCATACCTTTCTGTTACCTGTCACCCCCATAGGTTTTTAGGTCTCCTGGTGTGTTCTGCAGCAGCTGATCTCTGGGGTTTAGCAGACTATTAGCATTAGGCTTCCATCCATGACATTCCATAGATTGTTAAAGGATGTGACTGTAATAACAAGACCAGCAGCCTCCACCTTCAGTCTGTGACGCGTTTGGTAACGTGTCAGATAGGATGCCTCTACAGTAAGCATCCCAGAAAGTCCCAAGAAAGATCATGGACATGACCTCGGTCTGCACTGGCCAAAGAAACACATCGTCTTGTATCCTGCGCATCAGGGTAGTTTTACATTTCAAGCAAGTGAAAGACAGGGAGGAGAATAGACCCCTCTGGCTTCCTTCCCAAATTGATTTTAAGGGAGCGACAGAAATAAGATTCACAAACACCAATTGTCTTAAACGTCTCAGATGACAGCGCTTTGTCACCCCATTCCTGACGCACAGGGACATCTGACATTTGCTCTACAGGGTGGTCCTTTCTGTAGCCAAGCCTGTTTGTGGACATCCTTCTCTGGATCTACTTCCTAGGGTGCCTTTCTTCAGATTGCCATATGGTTGAGTATCCCCTGAGGGCCTACAAAGACCTTAAATAAATCAAAAGCGTGCATGAAAGGGCATTATGTAAACACTACAAGGCGATCTCCGGTTAAAAATAAAGCCAGAGTAAAATTCAAAGGAGCACAGCCTTCATTAGGACCCCACTCATTTCCGCCCCTTCATCTTCAACAGTGTCACGGATCCCTGCTCTACCAACAGCAAATGCTGGAGCAGCCTGGTGTGTCTACTGCCTGACCTCTCTCTGCTCACATGGCTTTAATTGCTCAAGGGCAGCCCAGGGCCCCAGAGCTCACTTCAAAGGCCCGCATCCAGTTCTTCGTCTTGATCTGCTTTATACACTCGTCACAACGCTTCTGGAAGTACTTTCTCTGCGCTTCATCCAACAAGCCAATTTGGTACAGGAACGTTGCATAGCCCCCTATGATCTGAGAAGAAAAGAGGAAAATGGTAACCCCACAAAGAACGAAAGGGAGACTTCAGGGGAGCCCATTTGCTTAGTGCAGTAACTCTTCCTAGTTGTGAATCTTGTGCTGGGATTAGCCGAGCAAGATCATTACACACACACACACACACACACAAACATACACATTTGCTGACACCCACAGCAAAACAAAGGCTGACACAGTAAAATTGACGCCGTAAGACATTTGGTAAATTAGATGTTTCAATTCATTAGAAAGTCAGTTAGCAATGGTCTCTCTCTCTCTCTCTCTCTCTTTTTAATCAAGCGAGGCCCCTTCCATGGGATCCAAGGGCATTTAATCTCTAAAAACCCAAAATAGAAAGAAAAAGGAGACACCTACTGATTCAGGGTCAAAATATGCATCTCCAATAGCAATTCCTTTCAAGTTGATCTTCACCTTGGCCATGGAGTTGTGGGTGTGGATGTAGTATGCAATGGCAGGCACATACTTCCCTGCATATGACTGAGAAGGTGAGAAAGCTGGTGTTAACGTGGACCATCACAAATGGGTACCAGTACCATGAGCTGCACTGAATCTAATAAGATATAACAGGGAAGCAGCATTAGATCCATATGAGATATGCAATCTATCTCTTGACTGTGCCTTGCAAATTCCACAAAAGAAAGGAGCTTCTTTGGCAGCCCCCCCACACCGCATGGGATTTGAAAGCTGCAGAGAAAGTGTGCAGCCAATAAGAGTTGAGCATAGAACAAGTGAATCTTCTCATGTCCTTCTAGAATACAGTCACATGAACCAAAGAACCCAATTCTGCCACTTCTTGGGATTTTCTTACCAGCAAATATCATGAAAAGCTTTTTAAAAGGAAAGAAAAAATTTCAAGATGAAAAATAAGATTTCTGAATTTTTATGGTGATGCAAACTTATCAATGAACCCATGTGACAGTAACAGAAAGGGAAGAAAAATGACATATTTCAGTCACTAAGACCATCACTAAACCAACAGTAGTTTCTAAGCCTGTTTCAGTGTTTCTAAACCTTTTCCAGCACAAAGCCCTCTTTCTAGATCAAAACAGTTTGTGGAGACCGTTTCCCCCAAACGAATGTGATATTCGCTAGACAGGGGCCTGGGGGAGGTTACTACAGATTCGATCATATTTTTTAAATAATTTTGCAATTTTTCCACCAACGGACATGCCCACTGAGATGCCTCGATTAAACGTCCTATGTTTGAAACCAAGATCCCAGCCTCCAAGGGTTGCTGAAACTTCCATTTCCGCTTCAGGAAGGGATCAAACCAAACCTCTTGGGACCATCCTTTATACAGCTTCTGTCACATCCTCCCGAACTCCCTCAGCCCACCTTGTCAGAGCTGCCTGCTGGGGCTCGCTGCCTTCCAGTCAGCCCCGACTCTGAGCCAGCCCAGGTGGGGAGCACACAAGTGTTCTAGGGGATGCTCCCAGAGTGTGACTTTTCAGCATGAGATGGCCAGGCTGGCCATTTCTGAGTGGGCAGGAACCAATGACCTTTCAGCTCAGAGCTGAGGACTTTACTATTTGTACCACCCAGAGACCCCTAGCCCTACCTCTTCTATCAAAATATGTCTAGAACCCAGTGTGTTTTACCTCCCCACATCACCGCCGGGTGCAGGTCACCATTACACCGGGCCTGGAGTACTGGACAAGCGTATGCTCTTGGTCTATCCCAGCCTATTTTCAAGATGAGGTTCCTGTTAAAACTCAATTCAGATGATGCCCCGCCTCTGCTCAGAAGCTTTCCATCACACTCAGAGACAAAGCACACTGTTTCCTTAGATTCGCAAGGCTGGCATGACCTGTTCCCTTCAGCATCCTCTCATCTCGTACTGCCTCTTTGCTTACTCTGCTCCGGTCTCATTGGGCTCCTTACGCCTCCTGGAATACACAGGGCACATGCTCACTCGGGCCTTGGTGTTGGCTATTCCTGTGATCTGGAACATTCTGCCCCACATATCTCTATGGCTAGCATCCTCACTTCCTGAAATGAAGCCTTCTGAGAATTGCTCTCTTTGGTCACCCGAGCTAAAACGTTAGCACTCTCCTGTGCTATTTTATACTCTTTTTGACTCCTTGTCTTAAACCTTATCACTCTCCAGGGAACTGCACACACATTCTACTGATGTATTGTGTAAATGGTTGCCCCCCACCCCCACCTACATCCAAACATTAGATCTGCGAGCTTCGGGATATCTATTTTGTTTATCCCTTGTGCCTAATGCTGTGTATTAGTGTAATGTTCAACAAAGTCAGATAAATGAACCGACCTGCATTTGAAGAACAGGATTGTGTATCTGCTCAAAAGAGACTGCTCCACGGCACCGTGGGGTCCTTCCTGGATGTGAGACCCCTCACCATGTCTAAGGCTCTGAAGGAGTCTGTAGTTCAAACGCTCAGAACACCACCACCCCTGCCCTGCCCCCCAAGAGCTCCCTCTCTCTTTCTTCTACAATCATGTGCTGGAGAGATGAGTATTCTCATTTTAAGACAGGGCTCTGGGGCTCAGAGAGGTTACATGGTAGAGCCAGATTTCCAAACTCGTCAGATTCCAGAACTTAATGCTTTCCAACTATAGGAAAGAGTATGAGTTTTTAAATGTATGCCACCTTCTATCACTGATGTAGCCCTTTTGTGCAATAGTAATCATTTAGGTGAAGTCTTGAATCAAAGCAATGTGTCCATTCACACTCAAGAGCACATTTCAGCCTCCTAGTGAGAATCTGTTGGCACTAGGCACTGCTGAGTTTGTTCCGACGGCCAGGGGCCCGAGTAACAGGGTACAATGGCATCGTAGGTTTTTTCGGCTGTCATCTTTATGGGGGCTGAGTGCCATGTATTTCTTTTCTGGAATGGCTGGTCACCAACTGAGCACTTTACCGTGGGGCCACCAAGGCTCCTTAATGTAATATAAAGACATGTTCATACATCAGAAATTTGGTTTGTTGCACAACTTAACGATAGCCTCTTGCTAAGTAGAGGCATGAGGATGAGGTCCACATGTTTCAAATACAATTCCCACGAAATGACCAACCGCCACCAAGGCACTTGAGCCCTCCCGGCCCTGCTTGGGTGCATTGCGTAGTCTCCACTCAGTGCCGGTTTTGAGGGAACAACCATTGTGCTAGATGCTTCGAGAGACACAGAAATAAAGCACACAACTTGCATCCCATCTCCTCACACAATCTTTTGAAAGCTTTCTATGGAAATCTTGACTCAAACATGATAAAGCTTACCAGTTCATCCATTCTTATTCTCACAGTACAGGTGCCTTTCTTAGGACTGAGCAGGTACACAAAAACATACTGGATAAACTGAATGGCTCCATGTGGTTGCTTCAAAATATTTTTCCTGGACCGCAAAATTTGGAACAAAATGCTAAAACTCTTATCTTCCTGGCATAGTATCTCTCACATTACCTTATTATAAAACTGGTAACAAAACACCTCCTTTGGCTCTTTTGGAGATAGAAGAGCCCAAAACAAAAAAGCCCTTCGCTGCCATCGAGTCTCTAGGACAGAGGAAAACTACGCCTGTGGGTTTCCAAGGCTGTACAGTGAACCCTCGTTTATCGCGTTTAATCGGTTCTGGACCCTACCGTGATAAACGAAATTCCGCGAAGTAGGATTCCTTATTTGTAAATCTATTTATTTATTTGTAAATCAAATATTTTCGTAGTTAGAGCATAGAGGACATGAAAAAACACCCTTTAGTCACCATTACACTCGTATTACCCGATTTATTAAACAAAAAAGGGAAAATACAGTAAAACATTTTGGGCGTTACAATTATAATTTATTATTTATTATATTATTTATGGCATCAAGCGTGTACAGTATGAGCCAATCAGTGGCAATAATGACAGAGCATGCGCTGTTATGCAAAAACCGCGATAGAGTGAAGCCGCGGAAGTCGAAGCACGAAGTGGCGGGGGTTCACTGTATTTCCTTGCAGGAGCAAAGAGCCTCATCTTTCTCCTTCGGAGCACTGGTGGGTTTGAAGGACTGACCTTGAAGTCAGCAGCCTCTCAGGTAACCCACTACACTGCCAGGGCTACTTTCCATAGCTCGACAGATAGTGGTGACAAGTGTACCCTATGGCCCTTGCCCCCTTGTGACCATCCTGTGTCTCTGAAATCTATCCAGACAGGATATTGAAAAGGGACAATTTTTTTTTTTTTTTAGCAAATACTATGAACCAAGCCATCCTGGTTCAACTGTGAGGGCGGCAGAGGACCGTGCAGTGTTCCATGCTGTCATGCATAGGGTCGCGATGGGTCGGAGCCGACTCGCTGGCACCTAACCCAAACACCAGCATGAGCCAGACCACTTCTTCTACCTGAGTGTTCAACTTGTGAATCAATTTAAAGACAACATGGTTTTCCAAAAACGTGCAGTGATGAAAAAAAGGGTCTATGGGTTTCCATAACATACGACCTGGAATTTTATCTCAGACTTGGCTGCCTCCACATCTCTTGCTTCTCTGATCAGATCATATTTCACCCAGTCATCTGGAATAGGCTTGGGACCCAACCTTGGGCTGGTCCAGAGCATTTCTGGAAAACAGTTCGGTGAAATGGGTAGTTCTACAAGCGCATCCAAAGCCAGCCTCTGCCGGGCGTGGTCTGCAGCCGCTCACGTAACAACGATGCTGCTTACCTAATGTTTGATTTCTAATGACTATCACACACTTCTTGGCTCTCTGTCACTGTGACAAATCCCCCACCAACCTTTTCATTAATCATTCCATTGCCGAGTGACTCGGGCTGTCACACAGCCGACAATCACGGGATGACTTGGTGGAAGATAGACACTGAAACATTATCATAAAGTTCCAATTATATCCCCTCTCCTGGTTGAGACATTGTGCTTTTTTTTCCTTTTTGCAAGATCAGACTTATTTATCTTTATTGAATCATTTCTTTCTCCCTTTAAAGATTCTCTGACCACCACAAACATTTTAGAAAACTATCAGACAATAAAGCAAATGGGTCTTGGATTACACATTCCCTCTCCTATGTGTTCTAAGGGAGCCCTAGTGGTGGAGTGGTTATGCGTTGGGCTGCCAGCCACATGGTCAGCAGTTTGAAACCACCAGGAGCTCCAAGGGAGAAAGACTGGGTTTTTCACTCCCATAAACAGTTACCGTCTCTGGGGGGTTGCTACGAGCGAGCATCAACCATACGACAGTGAGTTGATGTGTTTTACAAAGAATCCCTCACTCAACATCAACCCAATGCTAGAGAGTTGACTCTAACTCATAGCCACCTCCGGGACAAAGCGGGACCTCACCTGCTAGAAGCATCTTTCTCCCAGGGAATGGTGGGTTGCAACTGCCAAGTTGGCTGTTAGAAGCCAAGTGGGTAATCCGCCATCTTACCAGAGCCCCACCTTTGGTGGGGGTGGAGGGAGAGAGGGAGGTTAGGTGTGACTGCATCGTCAAGTACAAACAGATCCCTGAGACTTGCTGTGA